ACCTCTCCATCTTGAAGCCCTCAGGAAAGATGTCTGTTGGGAGTTTGGGATCTTGTGGCATCAACACCCTCTTATTCTTGACAATTAGTTTGGTTTGATTCATGTAAACACTGCTGTTCCAGAGAGTTTTTCTGAAATACTGTTATCCAGAGTAGGTAGCAGAATGTAGTTTTTCCACATAAATGTTTTAGTCTTGTTTAATCAAGTCATTCTTATATTTTGTGAGCTATCAAATTAGCAGGAATACAAACTTTTGACTGAAAGGGGTAACAGAATAAGATTCACCATTTATTACATGAATGTCTTCTGCATGCAAATCCATTTAGCTAGCTAGCAGATTGACATTCTGGACAAGTCTTCCCTGTTTGGTATCATTCTACATGTTAAAAGAGTTTATGCAATTACAGTTTCGAAAAGAAACTTATTAAATACTGCTGTCAAGGGTCTTTAACTCTCCGCAGTACTTCTGGTGTTAATGTTAAGATTCTGGCCTGTTCTGGCCTATTCCATTCTGTTCCAGCTTTTATTTTACATGTAGTTTACGGATAAAAAATAAGATTCACAATGGGAACTCTTCAGATAAAAAATGCAGATAATTGTCATACTATTCTTCCTTACATACCGTAGGTATATTTTGAGGAACTTCCCTGTGCTCCTGTAGGAAAAGGCCGGGTTTCAAAATACATTTTGGTTTGCCCTTTTCTTTTTCACTACCCATAATCCTTGCCATCCCTTACTGAAAGAGAGGTATTCTGTACAATGATCATAGAAAGATACAATCCCACTCTTCATCAGAATTCCTTGGCCTCAGCAGTTGCAGAGACATGCAACAAAGCATGCTGTCAAATCAGGACAATTCATGGTGGATTACAAGCAAATCGAAACAAACTGTGACAAAATACACAGATAAAATGATCCAATAAAACATCGATGAGGTGTCAGGCTCCACCTTAAAGGCCATATGAAAAAGTTTCATTTTTGACTTTTGCGAAATAATGTCATGGTAGAATCTGCAAACCAGGTTTCTAAGAGATATTGTTCCACAGGATGGCAACTACTATTGCGCTTCTGATGTTCAATGTTGCTGCTGATTACACTATCAAAATTGATTACATTCAAGCACTTTAGCAGGAATTGTGGAGAAGGGGTAGATTTTGAACTTGGAAAGTTGTTCCAGAATTTAAAGGTAATAGTTTCTGCCTTTTTTTTTTTTTTTAAGAAAAAGCTAATTTGACCCAGTAGAACATAGATCATAGAATAACAGGATTGGACGGGACCTTGGAGTCCAAACCCCAGCTCAGGCAGGAGACCCTA